TCATAGTAATGTGAAATCTTAAAATCACTGTTATACATGTTGTATCTTTATTCCTTCACTATTCTATAAAGGTATTGCTCTAACAGCAGTTGCTGTGGTCCTGTCAACATTCATCCTCATCCTTCTCTGTTCTTCTATCATCTCCACACATTAAAAAAAAAACCACAAAAAAACCCCCCAAAAAAACAACAAAAAAAAACAAACAAAAAAAACAAACTCATAATAGTAGTTTCAATGTGTCAAAATGATAGTTCGTTCCATGATTACTTACCTTTCTTACATTGATTCCAAAACATAAGCCAACATTGGTTCTTAGTGTGAAAGCTGGAGTTAGTTTTCCACTTCTTAAGAGGCCCCTAAGTTACTAGAGAGCATCAGTGCCCTGGAGAGATTTTCCAAGAGGTTGAGCAGATCCAGCCTTTTCCAGGTTTTGAAGGACATGACCCACAAACTGAAGTCTCCCTTCAGCTGGCTATGTAACAACACAGCCTTTACTACTTGCAAAAATTTTTACAACACAGCATGAAGTCTTGCTGCAGAAAGAATTATGTTATGATTCACAGACCAATATAAACACCATGTGATTGGAATGAGACATTAGTAAAAAAACCCTTAATATTTATTGAAAATAGAACACTCAGTATCTGCTGATTAGGCACTTGAAGGACTTGTAGTCGTTACATTGCTGATTTCTTCAGAGCTTACACAGACCCAGACCTAACAATCCAGCTAAAAAAGGCAGCTCATAGCTTTAAGGAGCAATAGACTCAAAGCAATGGAAGTAAGAGACAGTAATTTTCTCCCTCTAAACAAATACACTAAATACCATGTGGAAAATAGGTCTTTACCATGTAGTTTTTGCGTGTATCACCCCATGTTTCATTCTCACATACATTTTATTATACTTTGGTATTACCACAAGGCTTATATTTTCCTATTGGGTGTAACAGAGCACTGGTAAAATCTGAAGTCCTACTTTTCCTTTCATTTCATGAAATGTGTTGCAAAATCTGAAGTGATAATATCTCTTTTGAAGTTTCGATCATGAGTGGCTTTGTTATTCACATTCATCCTTGGGTGCTTTGGTAAAAGTAACTGCAGTGATTCATCTAAATTCATTTGGTTAATTGCATGGCCCTGATATGAATTTAGCCTATTAGCTTCTTCTGTGAGAGTTTTTGTTCAATTCAACCTGCCAACCTTTTCACATTTTTCCCCTTTCAGCAGTTACTGAATTTCAATAGTAGTTGAAATACAAATTAATCTTTGGGGAATCAAGACACAGAGGATTGTGACAGGGCAATCTACAATTTTAAAGTTGTACCAAGAAGGAAGAACCTGTATTTATTTAAGAAAAGCATAAAAAATGTGTTATTCTCATGATTTTGTGAACTTTACATTTTTGCAGTTTAAAATACAGCTTCACCAGGATGACTGCTTTATATATTTAATAGCATCACAAAAAAAAAAAAAAAAAAAAAAAA